ATTTACCAAGAACATTTGAAGTGGAAGTGGTTGAGTTTCTGCGCCTGCCTCTTGTACGCCGTCCAGATTTCCGCTCCATACTGCAACGTCCGCAAAATGATCGCTTTGTAAATTTTGGGCTTGGTGCTGAAGTGTAGACCGTGACGATTCCAGACGGTGCTCTGCAAGCGACCAAGGGCTTGACTGGCCTTTGAAATCCAGTGGGCCACTTCTTCGTCGATTTTGGTGCTGCACGAGAGGGTGCTGCTCAGGTAGGTGAAGGTGTCTTCGGTTTGCAGTTGGGCGCCGTTCGTGTTGATGTTGTGTGCGTTGTAGGCAGCGTTAGCGGGCGGTTGGTGCATAACCATTGTTTTCTCCGTGTTGACGATGAAGTTGGCGTTGTTACAGACGGCGGTGAAGAGGTCCATGCCTGTTAGGGGGCGCTCACCGATCGTTCATACGGAACTCACTCGTTCCGTTGTGCCTTATGGACTCCCTCTCGAGCCCAACCAGCAGCCGCACAGCGGCGCATGATATATAGGCAGAATGATATTACCGACAAAGACAAGGGAGACTGGAATGGCCATTTCTGGCTTATTAGCCGTCGTCAGCCAGCCATACCCAAGCCCGAAGTGTGGAACACCCGAGCCTCGAACTCGCGACCTGTTGGTTTAGAAGTCAACGCCTCTACTCACCGGGCCACGAGCCCGTTGCCCTGTCGGTTTTCGATCGGGAATATACAATGTTAGGGGGCGCTCACCGATCGTTCATACGGAACTCACTAGTTCCGTTGTGCCTTATGGACTCCCTCTCGAGCCCAACCAGCAGCCGCACAGCGGCGCATGATATATCGGCAGAATGATATTACCGACAAAGACAAGGGAGACTGGAATGGCCAGTTCTGGCTTATTAGCCGTCGTCAGCCAGCCATACCCAAGCCAGAAGTGTGGAACACACGAGCCTCGAACTCGCGACCTGTTGGTTTAGAAGTCAACGCCTCTACTCACCGGGCCACGAGCCCGTTGCCCTGTCGGTTTTCGATCGGGAATATACAATGTTAGGGGGCGCTCACCGATCGTTCATACGGAACTCACTCGTTCCGTTGTGCCTTATGGACTCTCTCTCGAGCCCAACCAGCAGCCGCACAGCGGCGCATGATATATAGGCAGAATGATATTACCGACAAAGACAAGGGAGACTGGAATGGCCATTTCTGGCTTATTAGCCTTCAGTACTGGGACCCTTTGATTTCCTTATATATGTGAACGATGCCGCAAGAGTTCTGGACGGTGAATTATCAATGTTTGCAGTGACATGGAAATATGGAGTGTAATTCGAGACCCTGTCGACAAAGACAGACTGCAGGTGAACCTACATTGTTTGGAAGATTGGTCAAACCCTTTTGTCTTACAGTTCAACGTTTGTAACTGTAGCATACTTCACCTAGGCGACACAGCCAGATCCGCCAACAGAAATGGCCATTCCAGACTCCCTTGTCTTTGTCGGTAATATCATTCTGCCTATATATCATGCGCCGCTGTGCGGCTGCTGGTTGGGCTCGCGAGAGAGTCCATAAGGCACAGCGGAACGAGTGATTTCCGTATGAACGGTCGGTGAGCGCCCCCTAACATTGTATATTCCCGATCGAAAACCGACAGGGCAACGGGCTTGTGGCCCGGTGAGTAGAGGCGTTGAATTCTAAACCAACCGGTCGCGAGTTCGAGGCTCGGGTGTTCCACATTTCGGGCTTGGGTATGGCTGGCTGACGACGGCTAATAAGCCAGAAATGGCCATTCCAGTCTCCCTTGTCTTTGTCGGTAATATCAGGTCCATGCTTCTTTGCATGTTCCCTCCTGAGGTAGCGTTTAGAGTGCAGTCGTCGGCGGAGAGACGCTCGTGGACTTTACTTGTGTATATACGCGACTGGAATTGCATCCGCCGCTGACTGTGGGGTTAGCCGTCCGTCCTGCAGTTGTTGCTGTTGTCCGGGCGTTTGTCATTTTAGGCCTCCGATTTCAGTGCAGTGGACATTAGACTAGAAATAATGGGCGCTGTGACGCAGATGTACTTTATTCCTTTGGCCTGTGCGCATGCCTCTGATGCTGGCGTATTTTGCGTGATCCGCGTCGTCATTCCCCCATAGAGCTGACGCGTTAGTTAGTTACATCGTTCGGGGCACCTTATTATCGTTTATTTCGCACTGTCCTTTGCAACCTACCATGCCGAATGTCCTAGTCATATTCACGAATGTAAAATGGTGATGGGTCGGAATTTCGTGATACTGATCCTGTTATTGCAAAGTGGAGATGGCCTTGTCGATTTTACATCGGTGACGGCGGAAGCAGCATTGTCTTTGCGGCATGAGTCGTTGTGCCAGTGGTCTGTTAAGAATTTTGAAAAGAATACGAACGAAGGTAATTTCAGTGATGTTGAGTAGATAGCTGCCTCTATGGTTGCCTCAGTGTTGGGAATTCCCTTTCGCGTGTAGAGCTCGATGATTGCGGTGGCCTTGAAATTTTGAGGGATTTATCCTTGGCTCGACATCGCCTGGGTGAGCAATGTGAGGTGAATCATAAATTGGGACGCCGTGCTAGTATATGTCGGCAAAAATAATAATAATAATTTTTATTAAAGACCAGTCGGGGTCCCATCAAAGCAAGTAAAAATAAATTTACATGCGAATTTTAGACGAGGTAGGCAAAATCTGTACAAAGTGCAATACATAGCTTTTGAATTAGAAGTCCGTTTAGAAAAATGATAAGCGAGGGGTGAAAAAAATCCACATCAAAATTTAAAAATGACTGGATTAATTTTACAGGTGAAAAAAAACCCTCGAACACTTCTAAAGACTCAGGTGTCTTTGCAAGACCCTATCTGGAGTATGGAATACCAGCAGCTTCACCACGGATGAGGAAGAATATCGACTCACTCGAACAGGTGCAACGCAGATCGACAAAGATAGTCCACGGTCTTAAGGATTTGTCTTATCAGGAGAGGCGGAATTTGTTAGCTTATTCCCTCTCTCTTATAGACTAATAAACTGCAGTCTGCTCTGGACGTTCCGGATTGTCCGCGGCCAGGGTTGCTCATTAAGAGCAGAGGACTTCCTTGAGTTTGCCCGTACAAACCAACTACGCGGCCATGCCTACAAAGTCGGGAATGAGCGTACGCGCGTAGACCGTCGAAGATGTTCATTCAGCCAGTGGGTTGTCAGACCGTGGAACTCGCTTCCAAGCGGGATGCTGACGACTGACACAATCTGTGTGTTTAAAAGAAAACGTGCTCGTCTAGTTTTCGACAGAAATCGGCTTTTACAGCATGACTCTGCACAGCCAGTTTTGTAAAAACTGTCTTATACAATCCTTCCGCACTAATTTGCAGCGCCCTTATGCACTACTTTATGATTACGATTGAACTGTGATCCGATCACATTGTAAATGCCTGTAATTTAACTTCTGAGTACGAATATGCGAAAGCACTGTACATAAATAGAGTCATCAAGGGCTCTGACTCTAACCCTCCAAATATATATACATACATATTGCGTGTATTGGTCAAGTGAAATCAGACCATGTTTTGGTTGAGATTGGTATTTCCCGGGCTCAGTACTGGGACCCATTTAGTTCCTTATATATGTGAATGATACCGCAAGAGCTCTGGACGGTGAATTAGCAGTGTTTGCAATGACATGGAAATATGGGGTGTAATTCGAGACCCTGCCGACGAAGACAGACTGCAGGTGAACCTACATTGGTTGGAAGATTGGTCAAACCCTTGTGTCTTGCAGTTCAATGTTTGTAAGTGTAGCATACTTCACCTAGGCAACACAGCCAGATCCGCCAACACAAAAGACCACTTTCTGGGCGGTGCAGTCCTACAAGAAGTCGAAGTCAAAAAAGAACCTCGGTGTGCTGACGACGCGTCACCTAAAACCATCCGCTCATTGTTCGAGAGTGGCAAAAAGTGCAAAGTTCGTACTGTACGCCATTAAGCGTGCATTTATAAATTTGAATGGAGACGCTTTCTAAAAGATTTTCTTAACATTTGTGTGGCCGCACTTGGAGTACCGCATATAAGGTTGGAGACTGTGGGCGGTTCAAGATCAAAACTGCCTCGAAAAAGTTCAGAGAAGAACCACAAATATGGTGAGGGGGCAAAGCTCCTTTTATTATGCAACCCACCAAATAAATCTTAACCTCTTCCCCTTGATTTATAGGCAACTTCGTGGAGATCTCTTGCAAGCATCTCGCATAGTGAAGGGTATGGACTACAGCCTAGCCTTTAGGGACCTTGACATACTTAAGTACCGAAATAGATGAGAGCGATTAGAGATCAAGCTCATCCTCTGAAACACTCCACTTTTGTCATGCCATTATGAGCTCGTTTGAATTTTTCTAGGCCTTATAATTTCTCCACGTACTACACCCAATTATGCGTTGATAATAGGGCAATCAAAGACACGCCTATTTCCGTAAATGAAGTGAAGTTAAGCCTATTTTCTTATTTTGCAGATTTGTTAGCCCTTCTTGGTATTGCCAGGCCTGTGGTCTTGTTTAGACTTTCGACCATTGCTCATTTTTCTTAAGCTTTAAAAAACATGCATATTATCGGATTTCCTCTATTTTCGGTAGTCTATGTCGCTGCGCCTCGCTTGACTTGCTCCTACATCTTCGACCACACCCCCTTTACAATCGTTGCTTAATGGTCCATTATTTTGCTCGAATTTTACGGTCTTAAATATCCTTTCAAACGAATATCATAGTATTTAGAAGATTGCAGAAAAGTACGAGGTCCGGAGAGTTGATAATTTTGTCGTTGAATATTCTGAGCACTGGAATAATAAGTTGGCATATTAATGACGTCCCCGTGACTTTCTAATGCGAGCAATGGAGCGAGTGGCCTAATATTCAGAATATTCGGAGAATGTTGACAAGAATGTGTGAACTAACAATAATAAAGCATTCTGTACGTGATGCGTGTTTCTTGGGACCGTTAGGCCAAGTACGGTCAACTTTGTTTTAATGACCTTATTGCTCCATTGCCGTTCTAGCCATTGTGACTTTTCGGCGAAGGTATGTTGTCTGGGTGGGGTCGCGTCGTTTTCGCGCAACCATGTCTGTCCTACTCTATGTACTGCGATTAATGTGTCCGACGTCATTTTGCCTCATTATGTAAAATAGTCAACTTTACCGACTTAAACTTGTGGTAAAATCGCACTGTTGCGCGCGCATGTCCCCTTCCCCCCCGTCACATAAGTCACTGAAATTCCAGCTATCGGTCAACCGACTATTTTGCATCCTCAGTGGTAAGTTTCCAGTACGATACCCATTCCAGATGGCTCGGTATACTATTTCTAAGACAGTTTAAGTCCAGTAATAACGTCTATTTAGATCCAGATGGCGGACTCGGATGATGATTCAGAGCGCAGGAGGAGTCGAGACAAATTCAGGCGAGAAAGAAGTGATGCGGACAGTCGGCGTCGTCCAGGTGACAAGAGGGAACCGTTTGAGGATCGTGTAGGCGGCGTGGCAGGCGGTCTTTCAAATAGTGGCAGGTCACGCCAGGAAAGACGGGACTCGGGGGATTATCGCAGCTTCGCCGCTGCCAGAGACCGCCCACCGACATCAGGCGAACTGCCGGCCAAACGTCCTCGCCGGGAATGGAATGACGACTACCGTCCCTCCTATCGACACCGGGATTCCCGTCCAGGCCCAGTCGAGGAAGAAGTCAATTATAGACCTCCCTTGATGCCCTTCAAACGCTTTCTGGACCCTCTTGATGACTTAATTACAGACGAGGAGGCAATGGAAAAATACAAAGAGTACAAGGAGTCCTTTAATAAGCGCTACATAGAGGAATTCTTCGAAGCGCATAAAAATGAGGAGTGGTAATGTCATATTCCGATCTTTGATTGCAGAATGCATGGAACTTTTCTTAAATATTTTCTAATGCCTTAAGGCATTAGATTACAATTTTAATCTTGATGGCAATTATATATGCCTGCCAAATCGACTCCATCAGAATGGGCTCCTACTTCACATTCGAGCATCAACAACTAGTGTATCTATGTGCATCGTGGATATTAACTGCTTCGTATTTCGTAAACTTGACAGGCGTTGACTTGCCAGGTCCTAGGCTGATGCCATTTATTGCAAAGAGCTCTTTTTTTTGCTCCGGCAGGCTTCGAGAAAAATACCATCCGGACTATGTTGATCTACAACGTGAGCAAGTGGCTAGAAACATTCGCCATCGCCTGGACGTATTTCTTGATCTCTTTGACAAAGGCATGATCGACAACCAGACGGTACAAATGGACAATAGCGATCAACTCATTAAATTGATGGATGCCGTCGTCATTAAATTGAGTGGCGGCACAGACGAAGACTTGGCTGTCCTCGACCATTTGGATGAAGATTCCGGGGACGAAGCTTTATCTTTCCAAGAACCGGAAAGGAGTCCAGAGCATAAGGTTGGTTCGGTACATTTCCTTAATCCCCTTTCGATAAATCACCTCAATGGTCGATTTTGCAATTCTCCCTACTTAATCACACCGAATAACACTTAGGTCACAGCTAGCTCTCTTTACTTCTTTCATTCGACTTGTGCGCCTTCATTTCTAGTTTACAGGCATATTCCATGCCCATAAAGGTCATCAAAGTTGACTCCGCCGACGCGTTCGGAGCATCGCAGTCTTACCTAACGATACATTGTGTTCCAACGAGTCTCACATGCAACTTGTGCCTCTGTTTTCAGACCAGTCACGCCGAAAGGAGTGGCGCCAAAAGTGAGGAAGGAGAAGAGGATTCTGACTTCGAATCTGACGATGGAGAGGAACGGAAGTTGAAACAGGACCTACAAAAAGCCAAGGATTTGCTCGCATCAAAAGATGCCGCTATGAAAGCCGACGAGCCCGAACAACTGTCCGCCTCTCAGGAGTGGGTGGGGGTGAGCGATAATGAAACGGAAGTTCCGGATGTAAAGAAAAGTAGTGGTACCCCCGTCGCTGAATCTCCAAAGGTTGTCAAACCAAAGTCGGAGGACAGGCCGGAAGCCACTCTGAATTCCGAGAAAACCGAAGGTAGGACAGTTTGTCTCGATCTAAGGCGAGGAAACTTGACCATACAGTTTGTCCCCATAACCACGAAACCTCAATTTTAGTTAAGATCCCCTTATTTTTGCTTATATAGATCCGACTTCCTGCATTGGAGTAGGAGATAGAGACCCCCATTGCAAATTGATTAGTATACCATCAGATTACAAGTATGGCCAAAAGATAACTGTCATTCAATTATACGACCAGGCAAAGTTTGAAATATAATTGTCGGAACCTTGACGTCGAATTCTATTCGAGATAAAGTGACTTATCGGACAGTTCGACCGTCTTTTCCGACGGTGTCCACCGTGCGATCCACGGCAATGCGGGACAGGGACGGTGACTTGCGCGTAAGTTAGTTTGTAATGACAGTGGACTTGCGAAGCACCTACCGTACTCTCTCTTCCCCACCTGGACCGGTGTCGGCTAGATCGCAGTTGGTAGCCAGGACCCGTATTACCGGTGACGGGGGGTTTGTTTATTGGGGCTATTTTGTGAGACTCCATAATCACATCTGACCCTTTTGGCTTCCGTTTTACGTTTGAGGTTGGGATTAGGGTACCGGTTATTTTTTTCTGATTTTCGGGTTAGGGTTATGCGCTTAGGCTTAGGTTTTCGGGTTACGGTTAGGGTTTGAGCGTATGATTAGCTTTCAGTATTAATGTTAGGTCTTTCATTTGTGCCTATGTTTAAGGGCTACGGTTACGTTTATGATTTCGGTCCTGTCCTCGAGTCACAACCCCTCTGAAACCGTCTAAGGATGATAGTGAAAAAGACACTCGCACCGCCTTTGGTGAGCCCGGCGTCGCAGTAGTTCCCGTACTTTTTTGGAGATGAGTACGATGACTGCCCCAGTCATCAGAGACGGGTTAGTCTTCAAACCCTCGCCCAAATCCCTTGTGCCAGTCTGCTGGGACGATACTAGACTTCCACAGAGATGCCGTGTTCTGTTTGTCTTCTTATTGTGCAACCTCTATATCATAAAAAAATATTTCGAAAGACAGCGCTCTCACCATCCAATTTTCTTTACTGACTGTTATGATTGGAACTTCTGCCTCGTGTATTAGGTAGATAGATCACACTCGAATTTTTGTAATTTACCCTTCACGGCGATCCTTCCTCAGGACGGAGGGTTGTTTATGTCAATAGTCTCAGAAGAGTGCGCTTCCAAAAAATCGGTTCTACCTGTTAACTTAATTTTCATTTCATTCTCTTGTAGATGTGACACCCTCAGATGCCGAGGTGAAGGAAGAGCAGCCGGAGAGTCAGTTAAATGTCGAGTCGATGGAGGCGTTTGGGACCACTGAGGACGATGACGACATTCCTACTCCTACTACCGCTGAGGCACCTGAGGGCAGTTCTGCTAGTGCCGCTGACAGAGTCTCCAACGTGGAATCAACTCTAGCTTCTGTGGCCGAGATTCTGGGTTCGCCTGCAGATGACAGACCCTCAACCTTTTCAAGACAAGATTCGTTAAAAGTGGGCCCAGCTTGTCAGGAGAATCAGGTCCAGAATAAGAAACATGTCCGACGAAATTTACACAAGACGGCGTCCGTGTTTTTCCGCTGTCTGCCGCCAACAGTCACAAAGAAGGAGCTGGAGGAGGTGAGCTCAGACCCTTCGTATTCCACCCTTTTGTACACGCACATAATGTATGCTTATGAGTATTCCCCGCCCTTCTACACTTGCTACCGGACATTTTCCTTTTAGCTTTGCTCATCTCAACCCGGCTTTCTTCGCTTGGCTATCTACGATCCGATGCCTGAACGCGGTTTCACACGCCACGCCTGGGCGACTTACAATCCCGATGTGAACATAAAAAAAATTTGCTGGGCCCTCAACACTTGTCCACTGCTTCGAGACAAGTGGCAATCCTCTTCACGCGCTTCAGGCGAACTCTGCGCCACCGTGAACCGTGATCTGGCCCAACGCGTGCGACCCGTCACTCCGATAACTCGCCACAAACCAGTAATGCGCAACGACCTCATGCTTGCTTCTCGTTTGATTGCCGAACTAGACGCCAAACACAACCTCTGGCCCTTACCAGAGTCGGAGAAACCTGAAGACGAGGGTGGAGAAAACGCATCACCCGTGGACGTTGAGAAGCCACAGGCTGTTACGAACGCATGCCCTGTTCCCGGCCTTCCAGGACTCTACAGCGCCAACCCCCTCATGCGCAATCTCACAGACTACCTTATTGATGAAACTGGCTCAGAAGAGGCAATGCTGAGTGAGTTTTTTCTCTTCCAACCTGCGGACGGTGCATGTGTGCTAAGTTTAGACGGTGCTGTGCACCCTAAAATCGACTAAGTGGCGATCGTCACCTTGGCGTCTCACCCTCACCGAGATGCCGCTCGTTTGTCACAGTTGCACATTATTTGGGATTTTTTCAATCTCATAATTAACTCTTAGGCATTTTTCCGGCCATCTTAGCCCCGTCGTCGCCGTGTGTGCATAGACTGACAGGATAAGCTTGCCGGTTTGTCCAATCTTATTGAATGCGCCAGGAGTGCGCTGCCACATGCCAAGTGTTGACTATAAATTACATAGTTTGACCGTCCAGCGCGACCCTTGCTCCGTCTGCCGCGTCAGCGCATTCATTTCACCCATTTTGTCATGGGATCCATTTTTAGCACCCATTTTAAGAACCACGAGTTATCGCAGCTTTTTTCAGTTTGTTGACCTACAAAGGTCCTTAATGATCGGGTTCTTGAGGCGACCTTGCTTATGGGGATCTGCTTCAGTTTCGTTTAAGTATTTAGTGGATTTTGCCCCGCCTGCCCTCTGTTCTTCATTATCTTTGGGTTGTTATTGACCGAGATTTCGTTAATGGTCCAATTGCCAAACTGCCTGACCCGGCAAGTGCTTCCCACTCGAAGCCTAAATTTAGCGACCAAAACTAAAGTGTTGGTACAAATCAGGCTTATGTTGTCGTCCGGCGCATTTCTATGCCCAGAACCGGTTGGCAATACGGACAGCGCATACTGAATTCTGCGCTTGTGCGTAGTGAAGGTGCAACCGGCCAATTTTTCAAGCATTTCAACCCATATATTCATCGGTTCTCTCCTGTAACTGCTATCTAGTGTTGTAGTGAGATTACAGTGAGTTCGGAAAAGTTTGGAGGTGTTATTGAAACGTACCGGCTTTGTCCAATCAGGAGATGTTTTTTTTGCCTGTCGCAAGGTCATTAAGCTACCGATTTTGTGTTCATTTACTACTGCCCAACTTTGTTCTTCTAGTGGCTGGCGCTGCCACCAACGAGAACAATTCTGGAGCTGCCGGCGACAATGAAGGGACCGCCGAGTCGGCAGACACGGTCGCTGCCGTCCCAATAGAGACTGATTCCTCTCTAGCGCGGGCACTCGATCGTTTATTGATATATCTCCGGATTGTCTACTCGGTAGACTACTACTCTGCCACGGTTTATCAGTTTGAAGACTCCATGCCACACCGTTGTGGTATATTCCACGCCCGCGGTGACAGGGGCTTAACTCTTGGATCTCAGGCTCGTGGTCACGGCTTTACGGTCACTCCGCGTGAGGTTACAGAATACATCCAGGTTTGCCACCGTTCCGTTTGACCTCTTGCAAAGCAAGAACATTTCCTCTCAACCCATTGAAATCACCCGTTTGTAAATGTTCTAAATCCCCTACAGCTGATGAACTAAGGTTTCCGGTCCCTTAGGAGTTATTTTAATTGCATGCCCGTTGCAGCAAACTAGAATATGATAGCGAGTGTCTTTGCCCGCGAACGATGCGGCGGCACGTATAAAGGTTACTTATTGGATCATCAGCTTTTGCTAATGAGGTTTTCAAGCTAGCATTACCCAGTTGATAAACTTCTGATCCGTATAGTGGTACTGACTGAACGTCGCCACTGCCCCTCCCCCCATTATTCAGTTAATTTGTCACACGCCAAAATTAATAAGACGACGTTGACGAGGTAGTCCAACAAAGGTTCTTGTATAGTCTCGTCAGCCTCTTAAATAGGTACTACCCTCCTAATTCCACAGTCATGTCTGCCACGGCAGACAATGTGAACCCAAACTAACCCCGAGTTTATGGGGAATCCAAACCGCGAAGGGGATCTCACTTTGTGAGATCCACCGGACTATACTCGTTCTCAGCGTTACCTCTGTACCAACGGTTGGGCTTATGAGTATCATGGTTGGTGAATTCCGCCTTATTTCGTAGTAGAAGCAGCATGCGCGATCGACAGTAAAATGCCTGGCCAAACAACACGCCAGAACTAATTTATAGTACTCCTGACCCAGTATTGACACTGCAAATATGTTGCACGGGAAAGGGCGTGACGCTGATACTTAGTCAGTCTTCTTTAGGACTCAATTCACTAATCGGAAGGTGGTAGTTTTCCTTGTCCAACAAGACCAATAACTAGAGCATTTACGTCTGAAGTCTAGACCCCAATCTTTCGGGCGACGGTTTGCCGCAGTACTGTCTGGAAGGTGGTATCCGACTTCCTAATTCAACGTAGATTTCCATTAACAGACATTCAGCGCCAAAATGAAGCCCTTGTTGGAATCACCACCAGATCTTACGGACGAGGAGATTGCTGCCCTCGGTGCTCGAGACCCCGATAAGGCCGCCGAGGACTTTATTGAAGCAAATATTCAGAAACGGACAAGTAAAAAGAAACCGTAAGTGTTTCCCCATAGGCTTCGAAATATTATCCCGGTTCCGTTCTTACAACCAAGCTCAAGCTGATTTTTTGTATCGAAGACACAGCAACTGATCAGCCAATTCTCATGTTCAGTCGTCTTAACTAAACTTCACTGGGACAAGATGTGGGTGAGAGGAGTTGGTGAGGCTGGTGTTGCCTAAGTCCTCATTAAAATCCAATTCACGCACATCGCCATCGTCTCGGCGGTGGTAGTACCCTTCTAGAGCATGTCTTAGGTCCGCTTGACTTGATAGGTATCGCGTCTTGTCTTCCTGCATCCAAATTTCGACGGTCAAGGCAGTTGTATTTGGTCTGTTTGTCGAAGCATTGTTTGCCAGCCATCACAGAAACGAGACATGGCTCCTACGAGACATTCACTCGACGGAAATTCGTATTGACCTAGGGTCAAACAGACTGCATCGTGATGATGTCCGCAGAAAGCACCGCATTGGATGAATGAGTTGTGATTTTGCGTTCTAGATGCGGGGTAGGATATGCGGAATGCCGCGTCCAATCTTTAAGAGGTTCCGTCCACCTGACAATAGTGGTGACGCGCCCAGCTATGGTGACCACTTACCCAGAACCACGGTTTATTACATCCACCGTCCCCTCCTGCTGCCTGTACAGGAGCAGCCTGCCAGCCGCTCGATATTTTCCGACAAACGACACTCCACTTTGATTTTTGTCCCCGCTTCGATCATTCGCAACTATAATTTCGTACATCAGCAAGTGGAAGGATATATCATTGACCAGCATGTATAGCCGCTGGGTACTGTGGATAGATAGTTCAATGTTCCAGTTGCGAATCCCGGGTCCGTGCACTTCGCTCCTTATTGTCGATTTGATCACTGCCATCTATCTGGACCAGATTATTCAATTTATATCGACTGCGCGGCATCATCTGCGAGTTGGACCATGCATAGTTAGGGCTTTCCACCATACCACAATAACAGAAAAAGAATTTTCATAAGGGATTTTTCTTTACCATGCCGCAGTTGATTAGACTCCAAAGACAGTAAGGACCACTTACTGTTATGGAAAATTGTTCTTTATACACGACTTCATTTTTGCAGGTTCAAGGTTGTGTGGGTCTGCCCACTATCGGACAAGAAATTCCGCGAGCCCATCTTTGTTCGAAAGCACATATTGAACAAACATATGGAGAAAGTGGAGGCTGCAAGAAAAGATAACGTGAGTCGCCAACACTAAAGTTATCGGCTAAACTATGCTTGGAGCTATTGCTCAGACCGGGTCGGTGTTTTACCGCACATGCCTCCATGTCTATTATGGCATCCAAGGAGAATGATTGGGTCCCCTTAGTCTGCTAGCTATTCTTGCGAAGTTCACTTAATGAAAACAAAGACATCCTTTCACCTCGTTGCTTATCAAACTCTTTTGGCATTTGAAGGCCGTGTTTTTCAATAACTTTCTGCGCGATCCGCGGCGTCCCTCTTTGCCTGAGGCCCCGAGGCACCTCATCCACCAATATTACCCGCCTCCCCAAAGTCAGTCGTCCAGCGATCGTCAGATTACTGGCGCCGGCTATGGCGGCGGTGGTCACGTACGTGGTCGCAGTAGTGGTGGTGGAGGCTACCGCACGGGTGGTGGTGTCTATCGAGGGGGTGGCTACCGTAACAACATGGGGAATGCGGCCCTCCTACTTCCCAACCAGTACGGTTCCCGAGGTCGCGGTCCGGTGAATGTAAGTTCTTTTTTATTCACTGTAAACTCCAGTAGCTGTCATGCCTTTCCACTATCGGCCGGTATTGTATTTGCTTTCAAGAAAACCAAATGTTTTTTGCTGTTCTTCGACGACTTGACTGGTCCCGATATGTCCTCATCACATGCAATCTGTTTCTATGAAACCCACTTTTTGCCCCCGGCCTGTTTATATCCGAGCATACTTACTGCTTTTCGTTAGAATGAAATAAAAGGAGGAACGCCGCTGCTGCGAAGCGAAGGAAGCACACGGTCGTCCTAAACCGGGAACAGTGATTTTGTTCTTTTTTTTATCGTAGTTCCACCATGCCGACGCGCATCCAGACGGCCAAAAGCGGTTCATGAGGTTACTAGCATCGATGTCCCATCAGCTTTTTTAAACATGGGGATATAACGCTACTGTCTCAATCCTGGACAACAGTCTTACCACGTTTGCTGAAATATCTCCCCAAACCGCTTGGGCATGGCAGTGTAACAAATATTTTCAACATCGCCCACGTCTGTATTGTTTAAGAAGTGCTGAATTGTCAAATCTAAACTGCAGAGGCGTCACAGTCGCATTTAGAGGTGGACGCCACAGGGGCAGCTGCGGTATGTCATCAGACGCATTCGTGGGTAGGAGTTGAACAGCCGAGTCTTCTTTCCTGCACCGCAGTCTCTTCTGGTTTTTAATAGATGAGCTAGTCCGTAGTTTGATGGTTACCTAACCATCGATTTGTCCTAGAATGAATTCCGAAATGGCAGGTAGGCAAAAGGAACCCTCACGTTTCAAGGCAGTACTCTACCACTATCAATTTCTGTTTTCCGTGAAGATGTGCCGCTTCTAGGTTGAGGTCTCCGACCTCCTGGTCGTCCGATATATCCATTTATGCATTGTTAACCTATAGGCAGTCTGGCCTTACGCCTGCCGCGAACTCTAAGCGATGTCGCTCCTAAATGGAGACTGATTTTTCAGCGAGACAGAGCGCTTTTGACGTCCTGGTGGAGGCGGCTGACCGCATCACAACGTCAAAGTTTGCCTAGTTTCTGCTGTTAGAACGGAACATTTTTTGCAAACGTCCTGAAGCGCAAGCGATTGGCGATCTCGAGGTTATTACCGGAACTGCGCGCATTGTCCATTTTGTCTCCATGTCTTGTGGGACGGGTAAGAATCGCCATTACTAACAGGAACATGGCCAACCGCTGTGGCGGTCCTCCACTAACTTGTACACTAGGTTATCGAACATTCCTGATTGTGTCCAAACCTGGTGTTAGCCGCAACACAATACTTATCTAGTGGACTTTGAGTAGTCCTCGGCCTTTCGCCATCGTTCAGGGGGTTTGCTGTTACTTTTGCTCTATTAATATTCCCACATGCTCGCTTTCTCGGCAGATAGCCACCCCTTACGGTCTCCCTTGTCCAGTCAACCTGGTCGAGACCCTGGAAGCAGCGTCACCTTGTGTGTTTGGTAGTTGAACTTCCTGCTGTATGATGGTAACCTGCTTTTAATACATGACCTTTCAGGACTACTACGAAGCCTCTGCCGCTAGTCAGCAAATGGCAGCGGCAGCAGCCGCCGCGGCTGCAGCTCTTTACCCGAACAGCGCCACAGCTGATCTCTACGCTCTTGCTGGAGCACTCGGCGGCGGTGCTGGGGTCACCGGAGGCGGCGTTCGTGGTGGCAGCAGTGGTCGCGGAGGTTCGCCGAGGGACTACAGTGGCGGAGGCGGTAGGAGTTATCACGGTGGAGGTGGGGAGTACCGAAATGGGAACCCCAATAACAGAAAACGCCCTTACGGAGCTAGTGATAGGTGCGTGTTGTAGGGGTTAACTTCGTTTTCTCAGGTGCTATTGAACAATCCTTGTTTACTACCCGTTTTCTTCACACTGTATGATAACAGGTAATGTTCCTCTGCGTCTAAACCGAAATCTCTCGGTCATTGCGAGAGTGAGAAGCATAGTTTTCACTCTTTTGCAGCCAGTTCCTTTGTTTTAATAGAAAACCTGGCGTGGACGACACGGCAACGTGCGTTGACGGCCATATGTTTTCTGAGAATAATAGGCTGATGAGTCAAATTCTACCACCACATTTTGCCTAAAGTACTGGCCAAAAACGGATTAACGTTTCCGTTGCTGGTCTGCCACATGGAGCCCCCTTTGCCGAAACGTGCGGATGAGGCTAAAAAGCACGTGGTGAGACGGATGGAGATCCCGCATGAATAATTTACTGGAGGCCTATACGGATTCGACTAGCCGGCTAGGGAAAGGGGTGATTTCTATCATCATTGTCAGACACGACATGCAGTCATGCAGTATTTCGCTATGCCCTCTTGTCACCAGCCCCACTAGCGCTCACATTTCCAATTCCCGACCGCTGTGGCCTTATGTTAAAAGGTTAATTGTCCGCAACTTGGGTCGTGGTAACTGTCGAAGTCGCAGGTGAGGGTGGCTGTTTTTGTAAGGTCTGCATAAGTGGCGACAAACTGCTTTGATCATGTAACAAGAACCTTGCCACGAACTCTATTTCCAAACCTGCAAGGACCATATAAAGGGCTACTTACTAGTCTTCCGTAAAGCATTTGCACTGTTTGAGTTATCTTAGAACTGTTTGCTGCCATTAATGACGAATTTCGAGACGTTGGTTTTGAGCATACCTTTTAAGGGATTACTACAAGTATCTTCCCAGTGAAGTTTCGTTTCACTGAAATGAGCGAGGTGATGCTACTCTGTGGGATCCAGACTCTCCAGATTCCGTGCTTTCGGATTTTCCTGTAGAGTTGTGTAAGAAATCGCGTGTGCAAAGAAGTTTAATGAGTCACACGATTGAGAAAACCAGCCGGATTAGCTTCTTACTGCTTGAATTTGAAGTCATTTTTAGTCACTGGTCTGTGTGCTATCGACGGAACTCGCGTGGTGGCTAATTGAATCCTGGCTTACTGTGTCAGTGTGCCTTAGTTAAAATAACATGCATTTACTTGGTGTCATCCGCAACATGACTACGATTGCATCCAAAATAAAAGATTTGTTGGAGCTTACATTTGGATGAATAGCCTGTGGAAATCTTGTAGACGGGAATCTAACCGTTGGTGGATCCACTTACTGGAAATAAGACGAGTGTTGTTCGTTCCTACATCTCATAAAATTATACATTACCTCTATTAGAGATCCTGGACAGAGGCCACAATGCAATTATTTACGGTGTGGTGAGCCTGTTTCTTTTGTTTTATTGGCCCGTCGAAGCTTTAGTTGCACTTGGATTTAAAGTCTGTGTTTGGAGTTCTTGTAGTTAGTTACTTGACGCGTATCCGTTTGAGTGACAAGCTTATATGACCCACCTACGTAGAGTTTTGGAACCTTTATCGGAGTCAAGGTCTTTTTTCACTCATAATTTACTGATGTTGAAAATTAACTAGTTTTCACAAAAAGTATTTGATACCGGAGAACCGTAAGTGGGTAGTGGACATTCCCTCATCGTACTGTTATGCGCCGTGGACTTTCACGATCGCTGACTGGTGCCACGAGTTTTGCAGCACTGCTTGTGAGAACTGGTGTAAGAAGTCGTCCACTGTCAAACTAGTGGCTTCGTGAGGTTCGTCGTAAAAAGGAAGCTAGTGAGATCTTGAGCGACTATCCTTATTAGCCCCGGGCTACGATCCATTTCTTCTTTTTCTTCTGACTCATCGTTGCTTTACTGGTTAACCATCCCAGTCCGCTTGACTATAGTCTACATGGAGCTGTCTTTCTCAATTTCTTCAAAGGATACTGCCATATTTATGCCTAATTATATTTTTGCTTGGCGTGTTTCACCGTATGGTGCTATTTTTGATCTTTCGTGATTTCGCAGATACCGACCCGGTGGTGGTGGTAATCGTGGTGTAATTTCTTACAACGACCTGGATGATCCCGGCAACGACGGATATTAGGTAAGCTCAGGAGAGCGTCGCCTTCGGTCCGTCTATGAATTTACCACCTGTTGAACAAATTCGACATTGTTGTAAAGCAGTTCTGAACCTTCTCATATTCTACCCGTTTGCCCATCGTGCAGCCGTGCGCGCGTGTACACGATTCTTAGGCGCATTTCAATTTTTGCATTGTTTCACTGGCCCAAATAAAAAATTCTTTCGTGAGACCTGCCTTTAGGCAGATTTTGGTATTTTTGCGAGTTCGGTTTTGGGACACCGTGAAAGGATAGTTGGGAATGAATTGGCAGTCGCACCAGGTTGCCAGCTACAAGAAATGGACAGTCAATCCGAAAAGCTGATAGCCGCTTTGCCTGTGCTTCACAAAGCTCAACCCCTGTGGAGCCTGATTAATGGCTTCGCCCGAGTGAACCTTGGGTCATCCTGGAGTTCGGATACAACTGGGTGTACCAAGTGGGAGTTGAGCCAATGTAGAGTAGGTCTCTGGCACTACAGTCTCGTAAATCACTGCTGTTCGTCCAGGCCGGCGGCGCCTACTGTTTCAGACGAATTACCACAAAGTTCGGCACACTTTACCCATTCTTGGATCTCCGGTGCCTTCGTACCATACTGGGTGCACGGTGGTCTTCCTTCTCTCCAGTACTGCACAGGACCGAAATGTGTCTCGGTTGTAAACTTGGCTGATTTTTCTTGACGACGGCAGCCCGGCCACCGTTACTGACGATGTCCACATGCCCCAAAGCGTGGTAGGCGCGGGGACGATGACTGCGCCAGAATTGGTTTACAGTAGATGTGCTGCACCTATCGCGCTCTCCTCCTCACCCACCTGGACCCGGCGTCAAGAGGACCGGACGCACCGGCTGAAAAAGTCAAACAAATCCTCTGCGCCTGCCTCTTCCGTGCTTAAAGGACCTATTCGCGCAAATAAATAGTGGACGGCTCGGATCCCAACAAAGCGGGAACGCCATAGAGGCCATATTAAGAAGTCATTGAAGTCTGGTGCTCCGTCCCGATTTATCCCGTCATTTGGCAGCCCGAAAACCACTTACTCCGGCTCACTGTCACGAATCCAAGTTGGTAAGATTGTCGACCTCACTCCCCCTTCCAGACACGAGTCCACTGTCTGGGCCAGTTAGTCAACTGATGCGGGGTGGGGAAATTAAACTACTCGTCTCGGACCTTATGCGCGTTCTCCCATATCAAAGTAACGCCGCATCAGAGAAATGGTTTTGTACAACAAATGTCCATCTGTTGTGAAGTCGTTACGCTAGTCACATCGCAAGCCCTACCATTGGCAATTGAAAGTATACGCTAAAAACGGCGAAACCTGAGACAGGCTGCGTGGGCCCCATTTGCATCGGAACCCACCCAGGCAGTGGCCGCGATGGCGCATCTTAGGTACAAGGAGCCCCGCTCTCCGCGTTCCCCACCCACCCATAGAGCTACAGACAGTACAGCGGGAGGAATGCTGTTTTGATACTCCCTAGCCGCCGAGTCTTGACCACTGTAGTCCAAGCCCGGCCATCTCCGTGTGTCCGCTAGTCAAAGTAACTGACAGCTTGCCGGCCACTTCCTGAATCGACAACTTACGTCCGGAAGTGGTCCGGACCATCAGACAGCAAACGCGCCAGCGCAGCGCTGAACTCTCAAAATGTTTAAAAAAATTTACTCAAAAAGAGAGTTACAAGTAGGTAACTTCACACGGAGGCGAGAATACGCCGTGTAAATTGACAGGGACAAAGAGGAATAGGAGGAATGACATCACGAGGTTTTCGGCTGCGGTGCCAAAAAAGAGGTCTGAAGCACCGATGAGGGGCAGCGCAGAGGGGGAGAAAGGAGAAAAGGACTAGAGGCAAATATTTCCTACAACGCGCATTAAACGGTAGGTACTCGGGTGAACAGTCGCCTAGGTGTCAGCGAGAAAAAGGAGGCGGCCTAAGGTCAGCAGGAGGTAATAGCTTAAAGTTAAAAAATGTACACACGCCTAGCGGCAACTGAACCAATATGAAGGTTGATTTGGGGACGGAGTTAGAGGGGAGGAAGTCACAGAAGACTCACAACGAAATATTACTATTGAAGATAAGCATAAGAATACAGCCAGATACCGTGTGCACGAGCGTGCATATATACAGAGACATATGTGTGCGCCTAAAGCCAAGAAGCCAGCTGAGGAACAGATGCTGGGCTACTTGAATGCTGCCGGTTGGCGGAAGAACCTAGGAGGGCCATGAGGCGTGAGGTCGAGGGAGGGGGGAGGCAAGGTGAACGGCGGCGACTCGTAAGATTCCTACAGCAACAGTGGGGGAGAAGAGCAGGGCACGGGAGAGGCCTCAACTTCTTCGTAGGTGGTCCGAGAAACAATCTCCTGATGGCGGCAGAGAACCTTAGACAGACGCTAAAAAGGAAGGATAAGGACGCTTGTTTCACTGTACTCCCAACATAGGCAGGACTAGCCAAACACCTCAGACATGCGGATCTTTCGATTCTCCCCTAAAACTTGCGTATCGCCTGAATAAAGTAGCATGTTGGTTTCGGGACAAAAAATTGTGGAAGATAGGAGCCACCAGCGGAACATTGCGCGGCTGAGCACGGTTTTCAGGCAATAACTACCCTCAACTATGCTGACCTATATGTTTGCATCACATAAATCCACTGTGTTTTGCTTACCGTGACGAGAGCGGGCAGATCAAGACTGGTGGTAGGTTGAACGCCAGCAAGGACATGGAAGAGGTCACAGTAAAGGGAGATGAGCTGGTCGACCGACCAGCCCCGTGTGGCGAAACAGGTCTTCTCCCACTGGGACTGCATGGCTGCTGTGGCCGCGGCGACGACGACGGCCTCTGCCCCGGTTGTTTCACTGCTAGCCTCCGGGAGGCCGGCGACTTCGTGGTCTGCGGAGCGACTAGCCCGGCGTGAGCGGGCACCCGGGGTTGTTTTCTGCTGCGACGGTGCAACTGCAGGAGGCAGACAGAGAGAGAGAAAGACAATTAGAGACGGCGCCCGAAAAGGACTGGCTGGGTATAAACGGAGGACCCGACAGAGGCGACATATCCAGCCCGATCTGTCAATGCGAAGGATTTTATGGCGGGCCCTGTGTTCGTGATGCCTGCTATCACAACATCGCATAGTGGGGCCTTCCGCATGCTTTTCTGGAGTCTGTCTCAAGCGAAGACATTGGAGGCCCTTGTGAGATTAGCAGAGGCGATGTGGAGGCAAGTCATCATTTTGTGGCATCCATCCCGCAATCACCACACAGCGAAGTTGATGCTGGCAGTTTTACGGTGCTCCTAGAATCCACACCCCTGGTGAAGATGCAGTCTACTGCGAATAAGGCTGGTAAAGATTTTGCGGGCATTAACGAAGAAGATGTGCGGTGATTATGGCCAACCTGAAGACTGTAAACTGCTGCCGATATCGAGACGACAGTGGAGGATTTTCCAAGAAACATGTTATGTAGACTTGATAGGCTACTACTGGGAAGGATGACAGTCAGGGGCGGCCGCGCGTCCCAATTGTGAAGTCTGTTGATGGCTTCTTCGGAGATTAAAAACGTCTTATTGAAGACGCACCCAAAGCTCTTAAAGTCTCCATGAGCTGCAACCTTTCGGAACAACCGGATTTATCCGTTTGGGTCAAACCGAGGCTACAGCCCGGTGCGTTGAGGGCACCTACACTATTCTGGTGGCGTCAAAGAAGTTCTGCATTTCACCACGGTCAGTATATGCTTGGATTTCCTCGGCTTTGTCAATCAGACGGGCGTCTTTTATCTCGTGCGCAGCCTCCGTAACACTTGACTCCGGCTTAGTTTGGGTGCGGTCATGCTGTTCACAGGCGTCCTTTGAAACCGGTTCTTCTCAACTCCGGTGCTTCCTGAATGCGGGTACAGGGATTCGCGTGGCAGTGGCGTGGATGGCATTCGTCGGTCTGCATCACCGTTCAGCAATTGGCGCCAGGAATATCACCTTTATCAATAGGACATCTTGTCGGTCACGTCTTCTGACGAGCACAGAGCCCACAAGTTGCCAGTGACAGGGGTGCGACTGCCCGTGCGGATGAGAAGGCAAAACACGATGTTGGTGGTGGATGGGGAGGGGACGGATGTTCTAAGTGGGATTCCGTTGCTGTTGCAAGTACCTGTGACGCAACAGTCAAACACTCCATCTCAGACGACGTAGTATATGCCTGCTCGTACATTAAAATGATCGTTCTCGGCACAGGGCAGACGGGGGCGTGTAGACCCTCCTCGTAGAAGTCATTCTCTACATCGCTGCTGCCGCAAGCCACAGCGATATTACAGTGTGGCAATCGTTGCCCGCCACTGAAGAGGCCTAGCTTGTCGTCGGAGAGAGGTGGTGGAATGGAGACGTGCAATATCACAGCCAGGAATGACAGGTCACCATCCCCCTCCGGTCAATAAACTAACCTGCCTGACGGGCCACGAGTTAATCGGGTCGACCGGGGGGTTGTGCTTTACGGCTGAACCCGCGGAAGGCGGGTTACACCGGGAGAGGGAGGAGCAAGAAGGGCGGCACATAAAGAACGGCGCACAGCCGTGGGGCGTAGTGGTTTAAAAAGACCGCCTGTGGAGCAAACAAGAAATTAAGACAAGGCCAATGACGAAGAAGAATACTGATAGCGAGTCAAAGAGCCTAACCTACCTTCGGTGACTTTTGAGGATTGAAGAGCGCCGACAGTATGTCCAACGCAGGCAGTATCTCCACCGCCCTAAAATATTGTACGAAACAGGAGGTAGAGATTTGACCAGGGCGTCAGTAACAAGGCAGTAAAAGGCGACCCCTCGCAAGACGGGGTTGATTTATGAAAAAGTTAAGGTCACCATACGGTAACGTCGCTTAACCTTATGCTAGGCTTACAAATGAATAGACCTCATCAAAATTAAGGGGAGGGGGGGGGGAGGCGAGACGAGAAATTCCGGACAGCTATGCACGGAGGTCTTGTTCCAAGTTGGCTACCGTCTGATTCAAAGAGGGGTGGGTGAGAAA